AGATCAAGGATTATGCGTGCCAGCACAGATAGATAGAGCGTAGGCGTGTCTCCTAGTGTGTGTGTGTGTGTGTGTGGGTGTGGGTGTGGGTGTGGGTGTGCAGGATGTGCGGCACGTTGATGTGGTCGCTGCTCCGCTCGAGGACAGGTCGCCGCTCTGCACTCGACTCGTTGCGCTCGGCTTTTGTGCTCAGCCGCAGCAAGGAGAAAAAAAAAAACGAAAGGAAAACAAAGAAGATTAGACTAAAACCAAGGAGGAGGACGAGGGCTAGGCCGGCAGGTTGTGGGTCTGTGGACTGCGTGAAATGCTCATAAGGCAACTTGATGAGTTTAATTATTTGAATGCTTCAGCTCACACACCCACACACAGTCGAAAATACACACACACACACACACACACACACACCATACGCATTCATTGGGCGCCAAGGGCGCGCTAGTCAAACAAAAGGCAGCTGCTTTTGTCACATGCAGTACAGCAAGCCTACCCCCATCCGCCCTCTCCACCACCCACACACACACACAAAGGCCAAAGCATACTGAGGCTGGAGTATAGAGGCGAGCTGGAGCAGGAGGCGGCTCAGTGGGGTTAGGCGCTCGCATGCCTATGTGCGTGCCAAGAAACAACGAGGCATAGGCATGTCCTTGCCCCACTCGCCCCTACTCGCGCCTACAGCCAGACAGCATGCAGGCAACTATGTGTGTGTGTGTGTACACGTACACACACATGCTATATACGTATGTATATGGCTGTATGTGTACTTAACAATTCACAATCTTTTTTGCCATCCGCAGCATTATCTTTGTGTCAGACTATGCACGGAATGGTGCGGAATGTTTTTGAGCCAAGCTCACAATTTGCTTCAAATTTCAGAGGCGTTAAGGAGGCATGGCGGCGCGGGCGAGGGCGTAGAGTCCTGGTCACCAGCGAATGCTCAAGGCACAAATGCCATTTAAGAAATGCGCGCATGCTGGGCAAATGCATTCGAGGCTCTTAACGAACTCGAGCACAAAAATACTTGAAAAATGGCATTCATCAAGCAGACCAAAAGGAATTTCATGCCATGGAGCAAGCTTCAAATGGAGATTACCGGAGAGGTAGTGGGGTGCGGGAGGCAGCTACGATATTACACACTTCCATTTAGTCATCAATGTTCACGGATTGGAGTGTGCCAAGTGAGTCAATGATGGACTTACTGCCCGATTGACTCAGAGTATGATTGATTGATTTATGATTGATGTAAGTGGCCGATTGGCTGGCTGAGTGAGTGCTTAACATGCTGATTGATGACTGACAAGTTGTTTAGAGGATTGGTGGTGGGCCTGATTGATTGACGAATGCTTATGCAAAATGGACTGCTTGATGGCTGACTAGTGATTGATATAGGGGATTGAAGGACAACAAAGATCTGATTGATTCACTGGTGCCTTTTGCTAACTTTGACTGATGAGGATTGATGATTGCTTGAATTGAAGAAGGCCTGATTTACTCAGAGAATAATTGAGCTAGTGGCTGATTGACTGACCGATTGACGTTTTAGCTGATGGAGTGAATCATAAATAGCGATTGAGCTACTGCCTGATTGACCGTCAGATTGAGTTGGTATCTGCTTAACTTATTGAACAATTAAAGCCGTATTGATGATGGATTGACTGATGAACGTACATGCCTCTTTGCTTAGATAATGATTGAGCTGCTGCGTGATTAACAGAACATGTAATTGATTGATTGGCCAAGGTATTGCATGACTTAGATCTAGATTGACTATTGACTTCTGCTTGATGTGCTTAATGAACAGCTTGGTTAGTGTATGATAAGCTCATTGACTGACTAGCATGTTGATTGACTAACTGATTGATAGCCCAACGCATTGAACTGCTAACCGAGCCTCCAGTTGACCAAATGATTTGATTTGCTTTGAATTGCTAATGCTCCAGCTCAGCAAATCTTTGAGTTGCATTATCAGAAATGCCACAGCTCAACAATGGTCAATTGCATTTCAAGTGCTGTTAACAACACTACAACTTACTATATACTTTTTACTGCTGAACGAGCACTCGAGATTCCTGCCTTTTGTTTTGTTTGATTGAACAGCAGGCAGCTGAAATATGGAAAGGCATGAAGTCGATGTCAAGCGGCGACTGCAAAATGCAGAAGCATCTTGTCAAATTGGCCACAGAAATGACCTCTTGGTTGTCATTACCATACCGCACACACACACACACGCACACGCATACACACACACATACACATAGCGAACACACAATGGAATGAGCTTGCGGTGCGACTGATGAAATGCGATGTCGGCTGCAAATGGAAATGGAAATGGAGCCGGAGCTGGAGCTAAAGTCGATGTAGAGACAGCGCCAGCAGGTGGCCTTGGGGGCGCCGTATTAGTGGGTGGGGCGTGCTGCGGCTACGTGGAGCGCTGGCGAACTTCACTTAATGTCAACTTAATTGCATTGTTTCAGCCACAAATTACAAAACGAGTTTTGCACAAGGTAACAAAACGTCGTCAGCCCCACGGCCTTGCCCCCCCGCTGCTGCTGCTCCTGCTGCTGTTGCTCCTGTTGATTCAGGGTGCTGGCACCTGGCTTCTGGCCCCTAGCTAAAAAAACACTGGGAAAAATATGCATGTGAAACATGATTTGCATTGAATTCGAATGCGGGCATGAACGCGTGCCAAAACTTTGCAATGAAGCAATAATGACTTCAGAAGTGTTTTCCTTAGACAGAGTGAGAGAGATAGAGAGAGAGAGAGAGAGAGGGGGAGAGAGAGAGCTGTCAGAACTGTCAGAGCTGTCAGAGCTAGAAAATCAATGTGAAATAGTTTTGTGTCAGGCAAAAGTAGGCTTTGTGGTCAAAATTAAGTCTGTCTATCTTACGCTAGGGCGAGTAAAATTAGTTTCTTTTGTGCTCGCGTGTGTGTCACAACTCGAAAGTTTTTCATAAAAAATCATTTTTTTTGCAATTGAAATTGAAATTTAATTTAATTTCTCATAAAGTGCAAATAACAATAAATATCAATTGTGCTCGCGTGTGTGTTACAATTAGAAAGTTTAAAAAAAAAAAAAACATTTGTGAGATTTTATTTTAAATATAATTTAATTTCTCATTAAGTGCAAATAACAATAAATATTAATATTGTGCTCGCGTGTGTGTCACAATTCAAAAGTTTTTCAGAAAAAAAAAAATTTTTTTTTTTTTTGAAATTTTAATTTTAATTTCTCATAAAGTGCAAAAGCAATAAATTGAACTCTGCATCTGCAGGCCTGCACGGAGACTCTAAGAACGTAAGTATCCATAGCGTAACTCCAGCAACATCATGACGTGGCCTTTTCTTTCAGTGCAGTTCTGCATGGTACAACAATAACAGCTTAATGGCTGAGTGTGTGTGCGTGTGTGTGTGTGTCCGTGTGTGTGTCTGTGTGCGTGTGAAAGACTGCGCCCGTAAAAAGAATCAATTGTGTGTGACCAAATTAAGTTCACTGACTCGCACACACAGCGAGAGATCTCGCCCAGGGTGAACGTATGTGTGTGAGTGTGTGTGTGTGTGTGTGTGTGTGTGTGTGTGTCGCCATTGTCAAGTGGTAGCCAAACAGGGATTCATTTGAATTGAGTGGTTCCAGCAATGGACCAAAGCACGAGCTCTGGCTGCGGCTGGTCGGAGTGAGTGAGTGAGTGAGCGAGTGAGTGAGTGAGAGAGGATAGACGGCGACGGGGTTAAACCTTTGTCCAGCTCCCAGTCGCTAGCTAAATACGACTCCATCGCCCCCCCCCCCCCCTCCCCCTCCCCCTGTCCACCTGGTTGGTAAATTGCAGGTGTTGGGTTCGCCTGCTGCTTCGTTGTGCACAACGAAATTGAAAACAGTGCAGAGCCATTGCATACGCTGAATGCGTTACTCGAGCAGCCAAATGAACGTTCACACACACACACTCACACACAAGGCATGCACATTAGTGTGTGTGTGTGTGTGTGTGTGTGTGTGTGCTTGCCAGTCATTTCATTCCCCCTTTCATTTCGCTCTCCGCTGACCAAACGCTCATAATTGAGCGAGAGATTGCCCAATGGCGGGCAAGTGCTGTAAAACGCATCCAGTGCTCTTCTCTTATCCAACACTCAAGCAAAAGAATACTTTTGCACTCGAACTCATCGTTTTTCTATTAGCCAACACTGTTTCCTTGGCGAACTATCGAAAAGTGTTGTGAAAGCTTTAAGAGAGACAATCATCATCAATAAGTCGATAACGCAAAAAAGAGAAGGGAAAGCATTTTCCAACACTTCGAATATATCTCAATTTTATAAACTGCTAAAATTTTCCGTGCCGACCATACAAGGCCACGAGGCTTGGTGGATATATCTACGTCCATCGGGGGCGTGGCAAATCGGATAAAACTGTATCTCCTAGAGTTTTAAAGCTAGAAGGTTAATATTTTGCATGTGAGCTGGTGTTCTGATTCTATAAAGACATTATATGTCTACGCCCACCAGGGGCGGATCTGAAGATATAGTGATTTTTTCAAATTCTGCTATATTTTGGACACTATTGATGCTAGAGACCTTAAATTTGGTATGTATACTCGGGCTGACCTCCCAAGACGAAAAAATTTTGGTGAATGTGTGTCCGCCCACAGGGGGCGTGTCAGAAGTTTATGTCTCCTAAAGTATATGAGCTAGAAGCTTCAATTTCGATAGTTAAGTTACTTTTAGCCTCCTCTATCGATTCCACAAATAATATTGTTACGCCTCTTTAGGGGCGTGGCATATACAAAAATAAACAGAATTTTCTACAACATTAGAGCAGAACTTAGCTATTAAATTGCTGATGGGGTGTGAATGAGTATTCCCCACTAGGCAGCGCCCGACTGCAACGTTCTACTTGTTTGTTGTTCAAGCATTGAGTGTGATCTCATTAGTCTTAGCGAATATGCCTGTCGATGTCAAATCAGCTTGCAGTAATATCGAAAGTTTTCTTTACAGGTAATTCGACAAGACGACAATGGGGGACAACAGAGCGGTAAAGCAAAAAACCTCATCAAGGAAGGATGATAATGTCGTAGCGAAAGTAGCGACTTATGGGCACCGCAATCCGATCCACATCCCACCTGGTTTTATATTGAAGGTACCTATTAGCCTGACTTGCACGGAGTGCTTGCGTGAGTTCCAACCTAAGCCACTCGGTGCGTTACGCCTTAAGGAAGTCGAGGGCCAGATCGAGGAGCTCAGCATATGCCAACCGTGCATGACGAAGAATCCGTTCTTATTCAGGTACTTGGTCAAGTACGCAAGTCGCCCGAGAGACAAGGGCAAGCCCCTGAGTCGACTGCAGAAAACGGTCAAGAGGTTGGAGCTGATGAGGCTCAAACTGGAATCGTCCAAGTCTGTTTACAGCGAGACCCAAGCACCAGATGCGAAGGCGAGGACGGATCGGGCCATACAGCTCGTGACAGATCTGATCATGAAATTTGAGGACTTCCAAAGGTTCGAACTGCAAGCCAAGAACTATACACGAATCAAAGAGTTCTTTGAAGAAAAAGCGCGAATACTGGAAGCAGCAAAAGCGCAAAGGAGAAAAGAAAGATGGGAACGCAATGAGAAGAGAAGACAAAGGAGAGAAAAGAGACAAAAGAAACTGGAACTCGAACTAGAACGAGAACGAGAAGAAACACGCAGACAAGTAGAAATACAACAAAAAGAACAAGAGAAGCTGGAAAGACGACAACTAGAAGAACAACACCGAAAGCAGATAGAACTATTGAAAAAGAAAAGCAAAGAAAAACGTAACGTAATGCGGCTAATAAAGTATGAACGAGCTATAGATACAGATAACCCAGCTCTACTAATAATGAAAGATCCGGAGGTTAAAAAATGGCAAAAAGAACAAGAAGAATTAATACAATTCTTCGAAGAAAGACAGGCCCGAAAAAAACAAAAAGAACTAGATGCAGAAGACCAATTAGAAAGAGTATTGGAGGAAGCCTACCATGCGGAGGACGAAAAACAACAAGAACTAATAGCACTAGCTAGAGAGCACAGATTCAACTGGGTAGTATATCAAACAGAACTAAAGGAAACTCTAAGGGCCTATAACGAAAAACGGATTGAAAAAGCAGATGTATTGAAAAGACAAGAGAATCCAGAATTTCAAGAGAAGCATAAGGCTCTAAGAGAAGAACTAGAAAAGCAGAGGGAACTAAATCATCAATGGCAAGCAAAGTACCATCAAATAAAGCCACAACAACAACAAGAGGAATTCCAGAAGCAATGGGAAAAGCAAAAGCGAATATGGCAGAAACAACAAGACAAACAAAAGCAAAGAGAAGAAGATCCAATGTGGCAGGCACAACAACAACGAAATTTGCAGCTACGGAGATATGAATGGCTCAAAGAGCAATATCGAAAGGAACAGTGGAACAAGCTACAGTGGCAAAAGCATCATCAAAAGCTACTAAAACAACAAGGACTAGAAGAAAATCAACAAGAAGGACAACAAGAAAATCAACAACAAGAAGAAAATCAACAACAAGAAAATCAACAAGGACAACAAGAAAACGAGGAAGAACAAGAAAATCAACAACAACAACAAGAAAACCAACAAGAACAACAAGAAAACGAGGAAGAAAAACAAGAAAACGAGGAAGAACAACAAGAAACCGAGGAAGAACAACAAGAAAACGGGGAAGAACAACAAGAAAACGAGGAAGAACAACAAGAAAACGAGGAAGAACTAACACAAGAAAGCGAGGAAGAACTAGAACGAGAAATCCAAAAACGAGAACACGAATACCAACTAGAGCAACAAGAACGACAAAAAGCAAAACAAAAAATAAGGCAACAAGAACGACAACAAGAACGACAAGAAAGAAGAAAACAACGACAGAAAATCAAACAACGAAACCAAAAACGAAACAAACAACGACAGAGACAACCACACCAGAACGAAGAGGAGTGGCAAGTACAACATTGGCTACGCTTACAACTAAGAAAAGAATTGGAACAGCTACTATGGCTGAAAGAGCAAAAAGATCGACTGAAAAAAAAATGGCTAAAACAACAACATATCCAACAGCAACAACGGGACAAACAACAGGAAAGCCCAGAACAACAAGAAAACCAACAAAAAGAACAAAGCCAACAACAAGAAAGCGAACAGCCACAAAGACAACAACAACAACAAAGCCAACAACAACAACAAAACCAACAACAACAAAAAACCCAACAAGAAGAAAGCCAAACACAACAAGAAGGCCAACAACAAGAAAAAACACAGCAACAACAAGACCAAGTCCAAGAACAAGAAGACGAAGAACGAGAAGAAATCAAACCACGAGAAAACCTAAAGCAATACCTAGAACGATGCAGGGAAGAAATGAGAGCAATAGAACTAGAGACCCGCCAACAACTACAAGATAAATGGGATAACCTAAAAAAACACCTCGAATTTCAAAGACAAGAATTACGAAGGGAGCATTTAAAACTACTAAAAATAGGAAAAGTCCCACAACAAGAAAGCCAAACACAACTGGAAAACGAACAGCAAGAAAACGAACAACAAGAAAACCAGCAACATGAAGAGCAACAACAAGAAAACCAACAACAAGAACACAAACAGGAAAGCGAACAAGAAAAACGACGAAAACAACGAGAAATCGAACGTCAACAAGAACGAGAACGCCATCGACAAGAAAACGAAGAAGTTGAAGCACAATTCCAGAACAAAAAAGAAGGAGTACTAAAAGAATGGTTATGTCTAACCGATTTCGACATTCCAGAAACCATAGAACAGGAAGAAAAACGAAGAGAACGCGAACAACAACTACAAAGATACTGGGATCTTCTATACGAAAGCAAACTAAAAAGATGGCACCAACACCAAGAACAAATGAAACTACAAGAAGAACAAGAAGAACAAGAACGAATCAGACTACAAGAAAAACAAGAAGAACTCCTACGACAACAACAAGAAGCAATAGAAAAACAAGGAGAAATTCAAGAAAAAGAAAACCTAAATAAGCAACAAGAAAAGCTTAATGAAGAAGAACTAGTGAGACAGTGGTTAAATCAATACAAAGACGAACAACCCAAAGACCAACAACAACAACAACAACAACAACAAC